TGTCATACAGCCAGGAGACCATAAACATCATGTGACTGCGGTTCGCAACATCAGAGTATCTTGAAACTTCTGGTTCTCTCAAGCCTCTTGAGTTGGTCTTTAATGTGTGGTAGTGAAACTGGGCCAGACAATGATGAGTCTTCCTTGATTCGCAACAGATGATCAGTCAGTTGCTCCTGCTTTAGTTGATGGTAATGCTCATCACTGAAAGACCGCAGAAATCCGAGTTGTTCCTGGCTTTCGAGGGACTCCTGTCTGATTTTTGCAAGGGGGATGTGCCTAGCAAACACCACCTCTGTCTTGGTCGAGATATTTCCACTTGGTGAAATCACCTGCACTGAAAAAGTCTTTTGGGCAATCAATTCACCAATTTCCAGCTCCCCAGAGGCTATTTTGCTAATTATACACTTCCTCATATTGAGGGCAGATGTTGGTTGGTGAACAGGGACCCTTGTTTTATTCAGTCTCTTGACAGAACGTCGGACACGCCTTTCATAGTCTCTACCAGACACACGTTTGGTTATATTGAATCCATTTATGTCCAAATGTTCGGCAGCATATTTCTTAACAATCTGGCCAGAATTCGATGGGATTGTGCCATTTTTATGATGGACACCGATCGCCTTTGCCAACTTCGACCAGTTCACATCAGACCCAGGTTGTAAGGAGTTATAATGGCTGATAACAAAGTCCCGATCGAAAACAAAGTTTTCCACATTTGCGACGGGATTCCGTGGCCAAACGATTTGACACTTTTTGTTTTGCGTTTTCTTTTTGCTCAAGTGTGGCTGAAAAACGATCTCGTTCATATTGTTTATATGATCTACTTGATGCAAGGAAGTTGGTCACATCATTCCCATTTTCTTGTGTTGTTTGTTCAAGAATTGTCATATGTTGGCATAAAGATTTTTCTTATTGCTTTCTTTTATCTGCTGATGTTGTTTTGATGCATAAATTAAGTTCAGGGACTTTTCAAAAGGCAGTTGCAAGCGTAGTGGAGAATTGGTTCTCAAAAGCTGGTTTAATTACTCCAACAACATAATTCGCTGTGTTGTATGCCACTGTCCGTGATAGGTTGGGTGTTGTCTGTGAAGTATTTGAATTTATTTTGCCTGCAAGTTCACGGCACACGGTGAATAATGTGGGAGCTCCTTTCTTGTTTTTAAGCAAGTCAACAAATTCACCGGATACTTTTTATACACTACCCCAAAATGTACACCCCCCCCCCCACCCCCCCCTGGATACTTTTTATACATTGACCAAAAAGTACCCCCTATGAAAAATCTTATAATTGAGTTCAGAATTTGAACAGGACATTACAGGAGAATATTTATCCTCCCTTTCCCGAACAACCCCCGCCCCGGGGCCAGGAATTTATGCCGAAATAATTTTTAATCACTGGACACTAAGGATTGGGGAGTCATGTAAAAACATTTACAGTTATGTTATAGTCATTTACCCACCTATATTCAACTCCCCACCCCCCGGTTACTTTTTATACACCCTACCAAAATGTACCCCCGGATGCTTTTAATACCCTGACGAAAAAGTACCCCCCCCCCCCCCTTTGAAAAATCTCATATTTCTGTATTTTTTATTCAATTGAATCCAGAATTTGGGGAGTCATATATACATTTACAGTTATGTTATAGTCATTAGCCATTCTATATTCAACTCCCCAACCCCCGGATACTTTTTATACACCCGACCAAAATGTACCCTCTGGATACTTTTTATACCCTGACCAAAAAGTACCCCCCTATGAAAAATCTTATATTTGAATATTTTTTATCCAATTGAGTTCAGAATTTGAACAGGACATTACAGGGGAATATTTATCCACCCCTACCCGACCAACCCCCGCCCCGGGGCCAGGAATTTATGCCGTAATAATTTTTAATCACTGGACACAATAGATTTGGGGAGTCATGTAAAAACATCTACAGTTATGTTATAGTCATTACCCAACCTATATTCAACTCCCCACGCCCCGGTTACTGTTTTTTACACTCGACCAAAATGTACCCCGGATACTTTTTATACCCTGACCAAAAAGTACCCCCCTATGAAAAATCTCATATTTCTGTATTTTTTATCCAATTGAGTTCAGAATTTGAATAGGACATTAAAGGAGAATATTTAACCTCCCCTACCCGACCAACCCCCACCCCCTGGGGCCAGGAATTTATGCCGAAATATTTGTTTTCATAGGGAGGTACTTTTTGGTCAGGGTATAAAAAGTATCCAGAGGGTACATTTTGGTCGGGTGTATAAAAAGTATTGGGGGGGTGGGGAGTTGAAGAGAGGTTGGGCAATGACTATAACATCACTGTAAATGTTTCTGCTTGACTCCCTAAACCTAAATGTGTCCAGTGATTGAAAATTATTTTGGCATATTTTCCTGGTCCCAAGGGTGGGGATTGGTGGGGTAGGGGTGGATAAATATTCACATGCAACTGTAACCTTCTGATCAACTTCTGAACTGCTTTTGATTAAAAAAAAAATAGACATTATTTTTTCTCATAGGGGGGTACTTTTTATACAAGGGGGGTACTTTTTGGTAGGGGTATAAAAAGTTTATTCTGCATAAAAAGTATCCGGATACTATTTAAGCAGGAGGTACATTTTATGCATGACACCGGGCACTCAAAACTTTAACATAATTACATGTATTCATTATGAAAACTGTACAGTGATTAGTTACATATTATGATCTGATGTTTTAATTACTAATTGAAGTTTCAAGTGCAACAAGAAAGAGAGTCGTGTGCTTCCAATGGGGATCACACCCACCATCTCCAGGTTCCTGGTAGGATTTCTTTTAACTGTGTTCGCCCTCGAACACCACAACCCAGGTTCTAACTTCACGTCTTATCTACACAGTTTCTAGTTCCATGATCAGTGTATCCTATTGATCTCAATTATGTATTACTCTATAATAACACACATCAATTGTACCTCTCGTGCACGGTATTTGTATTAAGCAGAAAGCTGAATCGTGTTCTGTGTTTGTTTACATAGTTGTCTCCCTTGTCACTCGTTTTTTAGATGTTACATTGACCCACTTTCAACCTAATGCCATTGTTTGACATTCAAGGTCACACTGACATTTTGCCTGTAGCTGTATTTTAGTCCACTTTTAAGAGTACAAGTGTGAGATTAATACCAGGTGATCGATGCAGGCCCATTGGGCCTCTTGTTTTTGTTCACAATTTTTTTGCTTATCTATATACTATCGAAAACAATTTTGTTGAAAGTGAATAATTGCAAAATAATTATTTACATATTTCAGGTTGAAATAGAATAATTTATAATTTCAGATAAGTACAAATAAAAATTACGACATAAGTAATTGTTTCTGATTTGTTACTGTTACCATGGATGCAATAAAAACACTGGAGAGTTCCAGAAATGAAATCCAGCATTAACTCGAAGTCGGTAAAATGGACCAGCGCACCCTTTTCCGACATACAGAAAACCAAATTTGACGCATAAATGGAATCTATGGATAAAAAAATAACGTATACGTATGGGAGCAGTTTAAAAAAGATTGCAGTTATATATAAATGTCTGTTTGGTAGGTAATGTGCCGTAGTTGGATAACCAGCAGACCGATTCCCGATTTATTTTACATTCGTAGATTATATAAACTGCTCCAACATACGATCATAGTTTATTTTCAAATCTTTACACGACCATATTCAATCAAAGTTGTTTGATATACGGCAAAAGGGTGCGCTGGGACAATTTTTTGAGTGATGTTAATGCTGCTCGCATTTTAGGTCACGTGACTCGTCGAAAGGAGAGGTAACCGTTTTTCGAAGTCGAAAACAGCCTACAAGAACCAGACATCACTATAAGATACAACGAAAACACGCAACTGCCTGTTAACTATTACAAATATTGGGTTTAATTGAAAACAATCAAATTTATTGAAGATGTACGTCATTGACTCTTACTTGTAAATTAGTAAAATGTTTGAAGGTGGTGAAACTGCCTGTACCTTTGAGCAAAACCACGGAAAGCCTGATGACGTCACAAATGTTGCTGCGTGACGCCCATTCAGGCGTGTTTACAGCAATGTTTATTTATAGGCATTTCAGTCAAATCTTCTGTACTATTGCTCGTTGGCATTTTGATACTTGCGTTTTTGGACGAATAATTAACCGAAACCCTTACTAATGTGACGAATTTTCCTGCACAAACGTTAAGAGTTAACAGTCAAGTATTCCAATACTTATACATGATACTTACATTTCATTTATATTACACTTTTTAAACTACCAAATACAATAAAAGTTAAAATATAAACATCACTACATATTAAGAGTTTACAGTCAAATATATCAATACTTATACATTACATTACCTTTCATTAACATTACACTTTTTAAGCCACCAAATACAATATATACTTAAATTTACAATACAAAATAGTCAATTTACTATTACATTTTAAAACTTATGCAATGAGCATTACATGTTAGGAAGTTAAATCCAAAAATATCTCCTGTACATTACATTTACAAATAACACAATACAAATACTGTAATTATACAATATAGGACTGTATATTAAGAATGATGACATATTAAGAATAGTCAAGTTTACCAATGCTTGTACAATATATCATATCTCAAAATTAAACTTCTAATCCCAATACAAAATCAGCACTTCAGTCCGACAGTCAATTATCACACATTTCTTTTTTATATTTTGAAGTGTACAAGATGCTTCATTATATAAATGCTTCCCTCTAAACTTTCTGATTCTTGACGACTAAAAAAATGAAGCATAAGAAATATTCTTTCCCTTATTTTTTTTTTTTTTTATTAAAGTTGGTCATTTATTGTAAGTTGAATATCTTCATTTGGAATGACAGACAAATATATTGTATTCTAATGAATAGAATGTGTTTATATACAATTTAATAATATACTTAAAGTACAAAATTCATACAAAATAAATTAACACATTTCATCTTATCATATCAGCAGCACAAGGACTTCAAAATGGATATATTTAATATTGAATATATATGTTTATTTAATAAATTAATACATATGTAAGATGTACCGCTAGGACTTTCTGTCTTCTAGGGCTCCTTCAGGCGGATTGATGTGTATATATCACCGTTAATATTGAAATATATTAAATTTTAACATCTGTTTAAAAATCTAAATATCTAATGTGATGTAATATTGAATTAAATGTGATCAGCTTCTAGCTTAGATAGAAAACCACCTTAGATAGAAGGGTTAACAACAGGTAAAATCACAGGTAAATACAGATAAATACTGTCAAAACTACTCAGAAACAGACTATCATCTTTTTAACAACATTCATCTGCCCATATATTTTTCAGAACAAGCTCACATAAACATAAGTAATAAGCAAAATAGTAACAAATACAATACATATAAAGACAAAATCCTAAAGGATATCCATGAAAATGTTTTACATATTAGCTCTTGGAGTCTAATGAGCAAATGCGTTTTCGTACATTTTCCTTCTCTTGATTTTGAATATCTGGGAGCATTTTGAGAAGCCTCTGCAGAATGCATTTTGCATGTTCTTTCTTTTCTTCTTTGTCATAGCAATCAGCCAATCCATATGCCGCTGTGAGTTCATGCTTTGAGACAAACCTGGACTTAACTTCACCCTCTAAAAGGCTGGGAGGACACACAAGCTTGTATGCGTTTTCCGCCGCTTTGGTATCTCCTGCAGCAAATTGAAATTGACCAACTCGTGACCATACTCCGCCATTCTTCGCATCATAGGAAACGAATTTAACGTTTTCCAGTTTCTTTATAATTTCCTTCCCTTTCTTGACGATTTCCGTTTTATCGCTCCGAGTGTTTTCACACAGCGTTAGAAGTGACAGGTAAGTCCTCAGTAGCTGTTTCAGACACACGGATCTGTGGATGTTGTCTGAAGGTGCATGCATTTTGAAAATGCCGAAGATATAATAGCAAGACTTGTCATTCAGAAGCTGTTCAAGTGTTCTAGCTGTATGCTGTAAGTTGTTGACAGTGGCCAGCTCTAACTCAGGTATATCTTCAAAGACTAACTCCAATGTACCGCTTAACTTAGCAAGCATGCAGTAAAGGGGTAAGGATTCTTGACATTTGCTCCGCATAATTTCTCCGAATTCATCAGCCAGAAACAAATAGTGACAGAATTTGCGTTTCTGTTCAACTTCTGAATACTTTCCTCTGTAAAATATGTGTCGACCATATGTGTAAAATATGGACAAGATCATTTCTTTGATGAAATGGTCCATTAGATCTGTAAGTTGGACAGCCTTCTTCTTCTCGCATAGGGCTTCATACTGTTGCATAGTCAATGCAACTTCCTTGTAATTGTTTACGCATTCTGTCAGTATTTTGACATCTTTTTTAGTTCTTCTCTTGTGCAGGATGAAGTGTCTTATAAATTTTTCAATCTCTCGTTCGTGAGGCAGTCGGATCCCGGTCAATTTCTCATCTATAACAGTTGCTTTTGCTTTCGCGAATTCACGATGTGTTTCATGTGTTGTAAGTACATGTTTGTCAGACACCTCTTCATCAATGTCTTTTTCTGTTGTCTCCATAACTTTGTAACAGAATTGAAGAGCTATGTCGGAGTGGTATTTCTCCAATCCAAGCAAACCTTCAAAATTGCTAGTATATGCCACCAGGTCGTTAACAAATGCCATCAACAAACACGTTTCGGTATCTTTTTCCATAATATTCTCTGCGTGCATGAGGACAGATCTGGCATGAGGAAGGACAGATGCCATGCGGTTGTAGTCGTCTTGGTGTCGATTATCTTTGTCCAAAATCAATGCACACGTCCAAAGCAACCTGTTCAGTAGTCGTCTCTTCCTTTTCTCGTCAGTGAAGGCTTGTAACGTAAGTGATACTGCTGTATGTGTGTTGAGCAGTCTTTTGTCGTCGATTCCCTGAACGGTTCCAAACGAAAACTTCTGTACAGCCTGGACTAATGAATCAGTGCTAAGAGAAGAGCACGTTTCGACATCATCGTGCTGAATTTCTCCAGCAATGCCCTCGTTGCATCTTTCGGAAGACGGTGACAACAGGTCAAACAATATAATTGGTATGTTTTCATTTTCTAGAAACTGGGTCATTTGAAACATTTCTGTTGCATCTTTATCCAAATCTTTCTCCATAATTCTGATAAATGTATTCAAGTTACTGAAAAAACCACGTTGACTTTCATCAAGCTGTTTAAGTTTATCGTCGAGTTGTTCTAGTGTGTTGGCTTTTAAAAGTTCCAAAAAGGATTTTCCGCTTTTGTGACAGTTAATCATGTACGTTTTCGCGCAGCTTAATCCTAACGGGAGATAACTCATACGGCTTGCTAACTTTTTTAGTGCATCTGTTTCGGAATCTGTACAAGTGTTGTTCCTTCTTAAGAAAGTTACTGCTTCTTCCTCGGTAAATCCGCTTACGGAGATGCAGTTTGTTCTTGGCATCTTCAGCAGATCATCCATAGTGGTGACGATAACTTTTATGAATCCCTGAGTTTTTTTCAAAGGTACAAATTTCCTGATAAGGTTTTCCACAATCTTTTGACAGTCTTTATTAACATCATCAAAGATGATAATGTGTGTTGTTTTTCCCATCAGAGCATTTGCAAGTATATCTCCCAGTTTGTTGATGGGATTTTCACTCTCCTTACATGTATCTTTTCCTTTGAGGACACCAAGTTTATCTGCCAGCGTTGTCAGGGATTTCTGCAGAGATGCCTGGTCTTTCGAGCGTACCATCCAAACAGCTGAAGTTGGATGCTTATCGTGAAACTCGTTCCCGTAATTTATGGCAAGCTGAGTCTTCCCAGATCCCAATACACCTAAAATTACAAGGTTACACGAACATAAGGGTCTAGAAATTTCACTGGATATGTAAGTAGTGCCATGAAAATCGATCTTATGTAAGAAAGATATGCTGATCAAAGATCGGGCCAGGTGAGCTAAAAATGGTTTTACACCTGCTCAGCTTCACCTGTTCTCACTTCATAACATTATCAAAATAGAAAGATATTCCATGAATATATCACTCTACACCAACTTTATGATAAATAAATGTGACCAGGTATAGCTTATTTGTACAAAAATTAACGGATAAACGGCAATGTTGTACAAAACAGTGGATATAGCGAATTTAAGCAGATTATTTAATGTAACTTTATTTAATAACTTAATAATTGTGCATATATCACATGCACAAAATTAACGGATGTCGGGGTAAGCTTATTTGATTTGATAGGCGGTTCTTGTGGGTGTGAAGGCTTTAATTGAATGTACAAATTACCCCTGCCACACCGCCCCAGCTTGCCTATTATAATTGTTTGATGTGTGTTTGTGTGTGATGGCGGTGGGGGTGAGGGTAGTTAAACATGGCATATAAATAGCTAATAACAAGTACGGCATTATCTCGCTTGTAGTAATTTTTAAACGAACAATGGTGTTAATATCATGCATAAAGGTGTCTTCTTTACACATTAAATAAGAATTTAGTTATTATATTCCTTTTTGTTTTGGTTTTCTCATCTTAATCAAGCGAATGCATTTATATCCCTGAATTTAGAAACCTGAAAAATTGGTTATCTTACCCGAAAGTATAATCACGTCTTCTGTTTTCATTGCTGTTTCAAGTTTTTTTGATGTCCGTGTTTTCGTGTCCTTTCTTCCAATCACATGTTCTTCTAGATTGCAAGGAGCTTCGACCGCTACAAAATATGTAACGGTGAGAAAAACGAAGTCAGCAAAATTTAATGTCATTTTGAAATAAATAAAATGCATCTATATGACTTTTAATTGTAACGTGAGGTTACCCAAAATGGAACAGTAACCAAAATGTACTAATTTTCATACTTATAATGCAGCATATTTTTTTTAATGATATCTTTTCGTAAACAAATTTCATATAGTTTTAAGCGATTAGAGGAAGTTTTGTCTGCCTACCTTTTGTATTTTGCTCATGATCTCATAAGAGATACAATAAGTGTTTGCCGATAAAGTTTGTATGCACAAAACATCGATACACTTTCTTTGATATGCCTTATCCTTCAAATTACAAAACAAGCTTTTTATTTTACATTAGTTATTATTATTTAACTGTTTGATATATCAGCTCACAAGTAATATTACATGTACTACTCACATGGAAATAAAACCGTTAGGTTCTTCCTGTATTCTTTGACTTTTTCTACCAGGTCTTTCCTTCCAACCGCATCAAGCATGGTCTCCAAACGTGATGTGTCAGATTCCGTAAACAGATTCGCTTTCATCGCCACTTCCATCAACTTTGTCCCTGAATTTTTTATTCCTTCTAACTCCTGGTTGTTAACCTCAGTTTTGATGCAAAAAACCATGCCATTGATGTCCTCTATAATGTAACAAAAACGCTGTTACTTAAGTACATCAGTATTACAGAAAATGGAATGTCGAACTGTTTCAATAGAAACAAACACTTAGCATATTATAATTCTCTTCTTCGAAAATGAAATCGGGATGGGCCAGATTTGTTGTTATAAGAACTGGTATATTTAATTTCCTTCAGTAAACTTTGAAACATCTTTATAAAAATTAATGCTTGAAAACCGCAAACCAAAATAGCTAAACGATCGTGTGTAAGCGGAAACATGTCAGCATCTTCCCTACTCCTGCTGCTGGCAATTTATAAAAGCATTGTCAAGCTTTACCGAAAGCTGTCGTTCCTTATCCTCACATACACGATTACTCTGGGTATAGCTTGATGCAACTATGTGGCGTGCAAGCTTTGTTGACACAAGAAAAACCACAAACTCTATTAAATGTGAAGTAAGGTATTGTTCTGTACATTTGCCAAGGGGCAGCCACTAAGTTTCACTACAACTACCGCTTTTCCAAGTAATCTCTTGACCTTTCAGTAACTAGACATTTTTGTATTTATGAAAAATTTGTTAATGATATCCTTATTACAGGGTGTATGACTCAGCTTCCTTGATTCAGAGCGAGAGAAAAAGACCGGCTCTGACGACATTTTCATTACCACATGATTCAAAATTGGTGTGAAAGCAAACCAATCACTGTACTTTGCTATCTGCTTTTGTGTTTGTGTATGCTGCTGCTGCAGAATGTTCACATTGTATTGCAATTCTTTGTACTTTAATGATTGTTTCACACGGACTATACCATTACGGAATATATTTTGGATACAAAAATTATCGTGTTGTGTTCTCAGCCATTTTTTCTAATAAAGACCTATCGATCCTTTTAATAGAACGGCCCAAGCCGAAAAAAATTGAAGTTAGCAGTTGTAAATTTTAATGCACACACTCTCACTTGACTTGTGCTATATTTTCAATAGTTAATCCGTTGTCGGATTAATTTACCAGCCTTCTTAAGATTCGATCTGTTAAGAATACGCAAAACCCTAAACAATCTACGTCAAACAAACTGAAAGTCATATCCCCAACTTGTGATACACACAATGGATATTTCCCCGTTGTCATCGGAAATGGAACGTGCCTTTTTAACAGTCCATGGAATATATCAACCATTTTAAAGTGATCTTACATAATCTCTACTTACCCGATCCAAGATTTTGACAAATCTCTTTACAGAGAAAGACACGAAATGGGTCTTCATCCATCCTCCTAGCTATTATTTCACACTGTAAAACATAATTATTTCGATTTAATTCAGCATTGCTAATTCTATGAAGTGAAATACTTCTATTTGTAAGTATATGATAGTATTTCATTTCGATATTTTTATTGACAAAGTAAAACTATTATACAACAGGCTATACCTTTATCAGCCCAAATCTTGAATGGCGTGTCAAGCGAACATTTCCGTACACAACGCGACGTGAGTAATGATTACACATCCTGACAAGTTGTTTTCATCGGTAAACCTGGTATAGGCAGGTTTAAAACATTAGCTATTAATTAAAGACATCATTACATATAGCAATGCACCGAGGAAGGAGATAAATTGTATATGGTACAGTTTCATAACTAACAATTATCACATACCTGTTGAATCTTGTTATAGTAATAAAAGCAATTTTCAGACCATAGATTACAACGTTCTGTACTGCACATGTGCAATACGGAATATTGTATTTACCTACTAGCTGGAACTACTTTTTATGGGAATCCCCTTGTAATGGCGAACTGAAAAGTAATTGCAAAAAATATCAAAATTTCTAAAATCTTTGTATCGATCTCTACCAAATACGGAAGGTATGTGATAAAAGCAAGCCACACACTTTTTGTTTTTCTAACGAATCAGAAAGCACTCATTTATTGCGCGGACGTATATATTCGTCCGCGCAATAAACTCGTGTGTGGTCTTGCATATTTATCACATAATGTAATTGTTATCCAGTGAATATACACATGCCATATTTTTTGCATATTAACCCATGTAATATGACCTATCAGCCCTGTGATTGGTTGTAAGTTTCAATTGTTTCAATTGTGACGTCACATCTAGGACAAGTACATGACGTCACAGACTTACACACTGGAGCCTTTTTACATTTCAAGATTGCATGAAAATTGTCGTTTAACACGAAAAAATGCCACAAATCTTGTTTATGTGATAAAAAGGATTTTACAATCGTTTTCATTTCATATGAAACTCGTCACGAATTTTTCATTTCAGCTCGCCAGAGGATCGCTAAATAGAAAAATGCTTAAGACTCGTTTCATAAATCTCATATGAAATGGAAACTCATGTAAGATCCTATATATATTCATGGTTGATACTGTAACAAAGTGAGATAAAATAACATTTTTGAGTTGTTATGACATGAAACCTGAACAAGGTTTAAATAAATTGAACCGATATAACATGTACATTAGTCTAGACACAACACAGTTCTTCGTCCATTTCATCTTATCGCTGCGTGTTTATCTCTCTGTAAAACATACTTAAGAACTATACACATTTTATATGACATTGGTAAAACAATAGTTTACTTGGAGACGCTGTGTTATAATTAACAAAATATAAAATTAACCAATTTTAAAAATACAACATGCAAACATCTTGAACATGATGCGATTTATACAAGAATATACTAAATGTATGCAAGGTGACGTGAGGCGGTCTCATCTTGCAGACATTTCCCAAAGGGAAGCTGCTCGAATTATATTCGGCCTTCATCATATTCCCATATCCAAGAACTCTTTCTAACCGTCGAAAATGAAGACAACTCCAACTTTTATACAAAATGAAAACAACTTAACTCCAGATTATTTAAAGGATCTCCTGCCACCTACTATTGCAGAAAATAACAGGTACACTCTTAGAAATAACAGTGATTAATGAGTTCCTCTATTTGGACTTTCTCTTACAAATCGTTCCTTTATACCTTATAGCTGGAACTCGATAGATCTATCAGTACGATCGTTGCCCTCTATACATTTATTTAAAAACTCTCTTACCTCAAATGTACAACCATCCCCTCCTATCTACTTCAGTTTTGGAGAACGTATATTAAATATTACACATACTAAACTGAGGCACAATTGTAGTTCCCTTAAGTATGACCTTTACAGAGTTAATCTTGTCGAGACTCCATTTTGCATCTGTGGACATCCATGTGAGAATGCCTTTCACTTTTTGTTTGAGTGTCAACCTTTTAGCAACGAAAGGCGCATTTTGTTTCAAAATTTGAATGCCTTATGTATAGATTTAAATTTAGAGATTCTTTTGTTTGGCAGGATCTTTCGGTAGACCTTAACTCTTACGTTTTTAGACATGTGCATCACTTCATCAAATCCCGCAAAAGATTTTGAACGGTGCTTTTTTAAAGTTGTGTATTTGTACCTGTGTGAATATTATATATATATATATATACTTCATGTTTATGCATATTATCATTGTTGACATGTAATTGCAAAGCAAATGTATGACGGGAGAAGGCTGTGATAAGTTGTAATAACTTGTGCCCGATCCCTTGTTCAATTTTTTATTGGCAATAAATATGTTTAAAGTAGACATTTCTAAAAACCCTAGTTTCACCTAGCAAACATGGTTTTTTTTTCACAATCTAAAAGCAATTTGGTTTTAGTCTATTTCAAAGTGGTGTATGCGGCAGTGATGCATATTATTACTGAGAAATAATATCTACTTTAATCAAATTAAATTATTGAAATACCTTTCAACTTTATGCGTAATGAATTTTCAGTAAGGTAGTAAAACATCGTATATGTCCATAAGGAATGCATTTATTAGGGCCCCGTATCGGAGATACGGGTGCCCTATAGTAATCACTCTGTCTGTCTGTCTGTCCGTCCACAAATTTTGTTCCTGGCTGATAACTTTGGTATTTATAGACCGATGTACATGAAACTTGGTCAAGATGTTCAGTTCACAAAAATACACGTTGAGGTAAAAAGTCAAGGTCAAAGGTCAAGGTCATCAGGTTCAAAGGTCAAATCTTGCCTCTTTTCACTGATGAACATTTGTTATGACATGATGAATCAAAGTTGATCAGAATAAAACAAGGAATCAACCTGACCAAATGTCAAGGTCATTAGGTCAAAGGTCAAGGTTAAATTTTGTATCTTTTCACTGGTGAAAATTTTGGTATGACACTTTGAAGCAATGTTGCTCAGAATTAAACGATGAGTGTATTGACCAAAGGTCAAGGTCACTGGGACAAAGATGAAAGTTAAATTTTGTAAATTTTCCCTGATGAACATTTTGTTATGACTTAATGAAGCAAAGTTGGTCGGAATTCAACAAACAGTCAACTGACCTAAGGTAAAGGTCACTGGGTCAAAGGTCAAGGTCAAATTTTGTATATTTTCACTGATGAACATTTTGTTATGACATTATGAAGCAAAGTTCGTCCGAATTTAAAAAGGAGTCAACTGATTTAAGGTCAAGGCCATTTTATGTTATTATGTAGCAAACTTGTTCAGAACTTAACACAGAGTAAACTGACCTTAGGTCAAGGTTACGGGGTCAAAAGGGTCAAGGTCTAGTTTTGTATTTTTCACTGATGAACATTTTATTATGATATTATGAAGCAAGGTTGGTCGGAATTAATGAATAAGTCAACTGACCAAAGATCAGGGTCACTGGGTTAATGGTCAAGGTCATTTGGGTTCAAAGGTCAAAGACAAAGTGGATCTCTGACTTTGACCCTGGATCTTGATGGAGGAGGTATATAAGGTGAAATAAAAACAAATCAAAGCTAACAAATGAGTATTGCACCGGTATTTACATTTCTGTTAACCCGGCAAATATGGAGGTTGAAGGAAACAAGACTCAAATCATAGTACATGTAAAATGTATATTTTGCTTCCTTGCGATTCTTTTTGAAGTCCAAATATCTAACGTCAAGCTCAGCTATATTGGCAGATTGCTTCTTGATGATTATGGGGGATATATTGCCGCAAGACGGGGCCCTTACTAACAGTGTTCTAGTTTTAATTATCTATCAGAAGTAAAAGAAAATATTATACAATTCTGAGTTATCATTACATCACAGTATGCACATTATTTTGATTATCTATCAGAAGTCAAACTAACTATGTAATACAATTCTGAGTTATCAATACATCACATACACTGCCCTCCAAACGTTCTGTTACATTTGCATTTTTCGATATATACTTAAAGTACAGAATTATGCCAATCTTGATTTTATTATCATTTGTATATATTATTAACTAAGTTATTGGACAATTATTTCTGTTGATTTTATTATGTTAAGTTAACATAATGTTACAAAAATCAGCTATTATGTAAATTTTGTAAATTATGTAATTCTATTATTATTTAGTGTATCCTGTATACGGTCAGGCATACTCCTAGCCAAAGTTCTACATATCCTATCAGGTATTCCAGCCCATGCAAGCTGTAAGGAAGCTTCAAGTTCCCTTAGATTTCTGATCTTGTGTCCGCGAACTTCGAAACCCAGATATCTCCACAAGTTTTCTATCGGGTTTAAGTCGGGGGACTGTGGGGCCACTCCAAAGATAGAATAGTGTTGTCCTCCTTCCATTCGTTCACTATTCGTGCCCGGTGGCATGGGGAACCGTTGTTTCCATAGCCTAGCAGATGTGCTGATGGTACCGCGCTGTTTTTTAAAATATCAATGTATTTGGTTCTGTTCAGATTTCCTTTCAAAGGAGTAAGGTATCCAGTCCCTCGGTAGGACATTGCACCCCAAACTGTCACACCGCCACCACCAAACTTAACTGTAGGCACTACCCAGTCTTGCCGCAATTGTGCATTTGCCCTTCTTCTCACATACGCCCTGCCATCTGTTTGGAAAATGATAAACTTAGATTCGTCAGTCCATAAAATAGTCGACCAGTCCAACAATGTCCTATTTGCATGGTTGTGTGCAAATGTCAATCTTTTCCGACGATGAGTAGCAGTCAAAAGTGGTTTTTCGACAGCAACACAACCTTTCAATCCCGCATTGTGTAATCGTCTCCTCACTGTGGTATTCGTCGCTACCACACCATTTTGTATCCACTCCGTTCGAAGCTCAGGAACGGTATCCTTGCGATTTCTGAGGCTGGTCCGGACTAATAATCTTTCATCCCGTGGGGTAGAAATCCGTGGAATGCCAGAACGTTCTCGATCCTCATAGTTCCCGGTATCTTGGAAACGTTCTGTCTGCAACAAAAGAGAAACAGT